AGAGAAGGCGCCAGGCAGACAGACCGACCCACGGTAGAGCCAGAAAGAGAATCATGGGCCTGAAACCCAGCTGCAGAATTAAAACAAGACTGTCAGGGGACAGAGCGTTCTGCTAACTTCACTTCCTGTTGATAAGTGGGGGGGGGGGGTGTCTGGAGGCGGGTGGAGGGAGGGCAGGGCCTGGGGTGAGTGGGTTCTCATTTGCAAAGCTGTTGACTCTCACTTCCTGAGGCTGGCCCTGGTCAGCTCCGCTGCTGGCACCAACGTGCCCAACGTATAGAAAAACAGGATGTTGCCTTTCAGATCTGATCCCGCCACGAGATGCGAATCCCTCCCGACCCCACCCCCACCCCTTGCCCCAGCAGAGAGGCGCCCCTCTGCCTGCCCGGCAGGGGCTGCGGACTTGGCCTCCTTGCCAGCGGGGCTGTTCCAGGTCAGGGTCGGGCTCGCCCTTCCGCTACGGTTTCAGATTCTGTTCATTTCGGTGAGGAGTCCTCACCACATCCCGAGCCGCTGAGGAGAAGGTGCACCAAAGAAGGAAGTAGGGATGATGTGGTCCTTTAGGGAGCACACATGTGGGTCCTGGATCCCCAGGGCTCGGGGGGCCCTCTGCCTCCAGGGTCTCTGCAGACGAGGGGTTGGCTGTCTCCTTCCCTGCCCACTCCCACCCCACCTCCTTCTCTTTAAAGGCCCCGCCACGTGCATGAAGGAAACAGACAGAAAACACACCCCAGAGCCGCTCTGCTCTTGGTCAGTACTCTCCCAGATGCAAGCATCTGTCTTTACAGAGGTGCATTCCCCACATGGAACAGAACACCGCTCAGGAATAGGGGTCAGGATGGAGTCCAGACCTGATGCCCGCTCCACGGGCTGGCATGTGCCCTGTTGGGGGGCACTGCTAACCTGAGCAGGAGAGCCACAGCTGCCTTTGAAACCCTGACGTCTGCTTCCCCCATTCCAGGGTCCGGGGCCTCTGCTCACATGGTTCTTCCGGCCAGACCCCCACCCTCCCGTCTCCCCACGGGGCCCCAGGTCAGCTTCCTCTCCTCTCATCCCAAGCCCTGCCTTGAACCTTCCGTTCGGCTCAGGACCCAGCAGCACCCAGCCTTCCAGGCTCAGGACATGGAGCATTTAGTCCCCGTTATGATTCAAACATTGAAGGGTCTATAATTCAGTTATTGCTTCTCAGATAAATGACACCCTTATAAGATAGACATGCCCTTCTCTGTGGGTCCAGGAAATCCCTGGTTGGCCCTTCTCTGGGCTGTAGACAGCGGCCCTCTCCCCAGGGTACCTAGCTGAGCACAGTCTTATTCTGTTTCCTTCCTCCCCTCCTCCCTCCCTCCCTCCTTCCCTTCCTTCCTCTTTCCTTTCCTCCTCCCTTTCCTTCCTTCCATCCTAAATTAAAACTCTCCTCCAAAATTATAAAAACAGCCCTGGCCAGTTTGGCTCAGCGGTTGAACATCAACCTGCGGACCAGAGAGTCCCGGGTTCGGATCCCGCTAGGGGTACGTATCACAAAAAAAATTATAAGAACACATGTGTGTACTGTGACCACCGAAACAACACAAAGATACCTATACAGACAGCGATTGGAATAAGCTTCCCTCCCCTTCTCCCTTCTCTGTCGTCACAGAAGGCTGGGCTCTCTGCCTGCTGTCCCTCTTGGCCACCAGTGATCAGTACCTGGCCCGTCCCGTGGGTCTCCAGGGGTAGAGGTTGGGTGGGAGGGCCTGGGTAGGGGGAGTGGTCAGTTTGGAATCAAAGAAGTGGAGCGTCACATTCTTACCCCACCACCTTTTTTCTTAACTGTTTACAGTTTGAAATAATTTTAAACTTGGAGAAGAGTTGTAAGACTCATACAAGGAACTCCCACGCACTTTTCACCAGGATTCCTGACAGTTTTGCCAGTTACCCCAACAGTTTCTCTTTTGTCCAGGTTTGCAGACGTGTAAGCTACAGGCCAGGCTGGGACGGTGTGATACATTGTGTATAATAACCCTTCACTGTAACTCAGAGCTGGAGAACCACCCAGTCGTCACCTGGCCCGAGCCCAGCCTCCAACCCCTCCTCAGCCTCTTTGACCTTTTTGGCACCGATGCTTTCGGGACTTTAGACCAGTCATGTTGAGGACCGTCCGCTGCGGCTCGGCCAGGTGTGTCCTCATGATCGGGCTCAGCTGCACACCTTCGGCCAGAACCCCGAGCAGCGGCTCCCGTTCCCGCTCCTCACTCACAGAAAGCCCTAGACGCGTGTCTCTGTTTCCGTGGAGGCCACGCCTGTCCTCGGTGACAGCCACGCGTGGCAGGAGTCGACTGGCTTTGCGTTTGCCACAGCCCAGGGCTTAGGGCTGAAGTCCCGCATGCATTTTAAAGTTAGTATTTGTAGTCACGAAAGAATATTTGCTTCTTGGTCTTAATTTAAAAATTTTAAATTTTTCATTTAAAAATTTTCAAATTTAAAAAATCAGCTCAGTGTGAACTCGTACTAGGAGCCGATGGGCGCTCTCGGCGATTCTGCCTAAATATGAATTAAATTGCTGTCTAACTGTGGTGGCTCTTTTCTCCCCTGGGGACCCATCAATGGAAAAGCCCGGCCTCTGGTTTAAAAGTAAAAATCCCACCAATTTGCTTCATTCATTCATTTGTCCACGTACCCATCCACCAAACAGTTACTGACATTCTGCCGTGTGTCTGGGGCACCATGGTCTCCCCTTCCCCAGGGGGTTCCCTGCCTGGTCCCACACACTGGCCTACAATTGACTGCTTGGCTGGTTCTGACCACCAGGGTGTGTGAGGGGGTTGGTGAAGGAAATGGGTCCTGGTGAGCCAGGCAGCCCCCAGAGAGTGAGGGGGACAAGGCCCAGAGGCACGCCCCTCCCCCTGGGGCTGTCGGCTCCTCCCCCCACAGAGCCTGGTCACATCCCAGGTGACCCAGCAAAAACAGGGTGTTTACCCGCTGTTATCTCCACAGGGCTTCTGGGATCTCCAAGGGGGCAGGGAGGGGCAGATAAGGCAGCACACCTCCTCCTGGCTGTTGAGACAGCTGTGGGCCCCAGCCCTCTCCCCATTCCCTCTCCTCCCTCCCATGCAAGCCTCTGCCCAGGCCCACGCCACTCCGGAGTGGGCAGGCATGGCCGAGGCCAGCTGCTCGGCACTGTGCACGTGGGCTCTCGCTGGCCGAGGGCGGCCCGAGCAGGGCGTGGGGTGAAGTCACCCCGGATGAGGCGATGTTATCTGGGCCTAACGGTTTCCTCGGCAGTCACTTCCTCCCTCCTGTTGGTGGAGCCTGAACCGGGTACAGGGGCGGCCCCGGCCCCGCAGGGAGGAGGACTCCGCGGAAGCAGAAGGGACAAGGCCCCAGGAGTCAGGGTCGGGGACCGGTCAGAGAGGGGGGCTCACACCAACTCAGGGCTGCACCTTTACGGGGAAGAAGGCAGAAAAGACCACAAGCACAAGCAGGGTTCCAGGAAATTCTCTTCTTGCCGCCAACTGCCTGGTTGTCCTCACCTCTGGAGCTGTGTGGCTGGACTGGAAGGGGACTCCCCTTTCATTCCTGGGGGCGGGGGCCCCAGAATGCCCAGCCCTAAATAAAAGAAATACTGGATCCCGATTCATGTGAGCTTGTACACGGGGCTAAGCATTATAAAAAGTTCATTTCATCCGAGTGCCTCCTACACTGTAGAGGAGGAAAATAACGACCAGAGAGGTTAAGCAACTTGCCTAAGGAAACACAGAGAGTGACAGAGCTCAAGTTCCACTCTCAGTCTGTTTCTGAAACCCAGGCTCAGCTGGTTCCATGGATTTGGGAAATGCTTTGGCCTTAGGGCGGTCAGGGCTTTAGAAACGAAGGCCTCAGGAGGCCGTGTGCCGGGGAGGAGCCCTGGCTTCTGGGACTGGTACCCAGAGCATGTCGGGGCCTGATGGCTGGGTTGGGGAGCAGAAGCCAGGGAGTTCTTTGAGGCGCTCACCGTCACCGTCACCGGGTCCCTGTCCCCCTGTGGGATGGCTCTCTCTCTCAGGGGGTGGGGGGTGGGGTCAGGGCTTGGGGAGGGGTGAGGACCACACAGACCTTCCTGCCAGCACCTGTCCCACACTCAGGTCTCAGAAGGCAGTCCCCGTTCCCCTCTGCGCCTGAAAGCTGGTGACCAGCCTGTAAACCCGCAGCAGAGAGAGACGCTGCTCCAGATGCCAGGCCTGGAGCCCCCCCGCTGCCCACCCCCCGGCCACGCAGCCTCTGCTACCCTGCCCTCTGTGTAACAGGGACAAGGAAGAGGCCCTTTGGCCAGCAGCTCGCGGGAGCTGCAATTCCCTCCAAAGCGACTGCATCCCTCAGGTCAGAGAGAGTCACAGCTGCAGGGACCTTGTTTCCTCCTCCTCCTGACATGTAAATGAGGGGCGGGCAGGTGGATTGGGGAAAATGACACAGGCAGCGGAGAGGTAAAGAGATGAAGGGGAAAGCGTCCTGTCGTCCTGTCCCTTGCGCACGGGGTGGCCAGCTCCCTGCGCTCTGCTGTCTTCTGGCTGGGAGTGAGCACCGCGTCCACCCGCGGGGTCCTGCTGCAGCCAGGACCCCAGGGGAGCCAGGGACAGCATGGGTGCAACTAAAGGGGGGGGAGGAAGCAGCAGGATCCCCTAAGAGAGGGGAGAGCTAGAGAATGAAGAACAACTCTCGCTTTTAGGGCAAGAAAGAGAAAGAAGGCGCAGACGAAGGGGGGGAGGTTGAGAAAGGCTGAAACCCCCGCCAGGACCAGGTCCTGCACACACTGCCCCAGAAGGGGCGCCGGAGGCTGTCCCGTCCCATGTTTGGGCACATGCATGGAGCGAGGTGGCTCCCTCGCTGGAGTCCTGCCCTGGGAGGGGACAGTATCTGTTTAGATTTGTGTCTAAATTTAAACCCTGATGGCTGGCCTCCCTCCCCTGCTCCTCCTCCTCCTCCCTCCCTCCCTCCCTCTCCACCTCCTCCTCCTCCTCCCCCTTCCCCCTCCCCCTCCCTCCTGTCCTCGCTGGAGGCCGGAGGCTGGGCTGTCCCACAGCAACCAGCCGGCGCACTTGCCCCGCGCGGGGACCAGGCAGAGCAGGATCGAGGACAGAGGGCAGGAAAACCGGAGGCAGAGCAGACTGGCACCTGGACGACATGGAGGTACCGCGTGGCTGGCACGGTGGGCGGGAGCGGGCCGGGCAGCTGCCGCTCTGGTAGGGCAAGTGGGCTGGCCCCGCAGCTGCCCAGGAGAAGGGCGATGCCCACCGCCCGTCAGCCGGAGCCCAGGCCCCACCTGGGGGACCCCTGGGGCAGGCAGGGACAGCCAGGGGACTGCCGAGGGTCAGGGGGCCTTCTAGGGTCCAGACGCTCTGGACAGGAACTTACAGGCTCAGGGCGAAACTTGGCAAACGGGCGGTCTGCGAGCCCAGACCCCAGCAAGCAGCAGCCTCTGGAGCCGGAGCCAGCGTGGGCAGAGAAGCAGGGTTGGCAGCTGGCACCCCTTTGCCACCGCGGCTACCCTTCCATGGAGGGTCGGCCCCTGGGACAGTCTGCTGGCCCTGCTTCTCATGTCCTGCTGTCTCTCATCTTTCGGGACTTTCTGCAAAGTTCTCCTCGCGGGCAACTAGCACTGCAGCTGATAGAACCTGGGACTCCCCGCACGGTCCTGGGTGGATGGGGTGCGCCGGCCCCTCCGTGTGGCATTTCCTCCGCCTGGCATTTTCCTGGTACGTTCCAATCTCAGGGGGTCTGGGAACCCCCTGCAAAGGAGGCGTAGCTGGGTGTATTCCTCCCCCACTCCCAGTTCCACATCTTGAGGCTTCTGTCGATTTCTCCCTTGAAACCGACACCTGACATTTAGCCCTACGTCCGTCTTAGCAGGACCTGGGGCTTTTGAAAACATTAGTTTCTGAGGTGATCCCCACCCTGTTCAGAAGGAGACTGCTCCCCCAGAGGCTGTCATCGTCACCAGCGGTGCAGTCCTGCTGCCTCTTCCCCACCCCAGGCTCTTCCGCGGAGCGCTGGCCGACTCCGCTGTCAGCCCCTCGCATGGCCTGCAGCTCGGGGCGGCTTTGCAGGGGACCAGGCTGCCCTGGCAGGCACCCTGCTTCCTGCGTTCGAGAGACGGGGGTACCTTCAGGGAGGCTTTATGAAGTAGGGGGGACTGTGGGATCCACCGGAGTCCGAGTGGACGCTCCATAGGCACTTTGGTGAATCAGGGAAACTGAGGCAGACTAGGGCTGGGTGGCGCGGGGTAACGCACAGGCCTGCTGAAGGGCAAAAGACGGAGGTGGCCGGGGACGCCTGGCCTCGGGCTGGGTGAGGCTCCTCCAGCAGGGGGTGCCCTCCTCTGGGAGGGCGCAGGGCACCTCAGGCCGAGGCCGGGGGTCAGTCTGATGGAGCGCCTGCCTGGCGGCTTGCAGACATGGATGGGGTGGGAGCCAAACGGGTCTCGGGCTGCAGACCAGGTCGCTGCTTGAGGCCATGTGCGTTTCAGCCGTGTTCTCGGAGACGCGGGGACCCTGGCACGGGCACTCTCTCTCCCTCCGCTGAGGCAGGAAGTGTTCGTGGCACAGACCCTGCCCTGTCCCGGCTGCTTCCTGTGTGGGGCCGCGAGCAGCGACGGCATGCAGTCTGCACGGGGCTGTGGGCCACCGACCGGGGCGCCCCGAGTCCGGCTCAGGGCGCAGACTGCGGCTGGCAGGGGCTGCTTTGGAAACGTCTTGGTGAAACGTCCGAATGCAGAACAGCCGGAGCACAGAGGAGCCATGAGGCCCAGGAAGTGACGACGCGCAGGCAGGAAGTGAGCGCTGCACGGTGGGACGTGATTTGCAGGAGTGGGGTGTGGGAATTCCTGGACAGTCTCGGGGCGTAGCCCTCTTTGGAGATGTGAAGGGACCTCGACATTGGAGGAGAGTCATAGCATTTCCCAGTGTAGGAACCCAAACGAGACGGACGAGCTCACGCAGCCCCGTCCCCCCGGGAAGTCTCTGGGACATCTTTGCATTTTCGCAGTGACTGTGACCGCTGTCAACAGTATTGACCATAAGTTCAGGCCCATGCAGCCCTCTGCAGCAAACAAGGTCAAGCCCTGGCTGGTCTGGCTCAGCGGTTAGAGCGTCGGCCCACAGACCAGAGAGTCCAGGGTTCGGTTCCCGCCAAGGGCACGTACCTGGGTTGCAGTTTGTCCCCGGCCCCGGTTGGGGTCATGTGGGTGGCAACCAGTCGATGTGTCTCTCTCATATCAATGTTTCTTTCTCTCTCTTCCTCCCGCTCTATCTGAAGATAATTGCAAAAAAAAAAAAAAAGGTCCTCCAGTGAGGATAAAAAACAAAACAAGGTCAAGGTGTGTTCTAGAGGCTCCCCGTCTGTGGGGAACGGGACTCCCAATACACGCCCTGTGGCGCCCGTCATTCTCAAGGGCGTGAGTGCCCAGCGAGGGCTGGCGCGGACCTGGGCTCCCCCGTGGCGTGAATCCCAGCCCCGAGAGAAAGGCAGCGGGAGGAGGAGGCTCGGCAGGGTCAGGGAACACACTGCCCTTGTCCAGGGGAGCAGGCCAGTGGGCCGGGAAGGTGGGACGCGGAGAGGGAGGAAGGAGAGGAGATAAGGCCCCGAGCGGCCAGGCAGTGCGGGGGAGCCGGACTCTCGCCATCGGAGGGCAGAGCTACTTTTCCGTCCCCAAAGGGGCGCCATCTCCCATCCTCACAGAAGCAGACCGCGGACGAGTGGACTCAGCTCCGGGCCAGTGGGAGACGCCGAGGGCTGTGGAGTAAGACAGGGGCCGCGGTGTGGCAAGAAGGGTGTGGCGGAGATGCCAGCGCACTGCCTGGGCAGGGGACCGGGACGGGGGACCGGGGACTGGCCGAGGTGCTCCTCCGGAAGCCCAGGCGTGCTCCGACTTCGAGAGCGAGCAGGAGGAACGCGGTGGCTGGGCAAGGCCCAGGCGTGACCCGAGGCATCAGAAGCCACCTCCGGGTCAGGCTCACAGGCAGTTCTCCGGGGTGCCAAGGAGCAGGGCAGCCAAGCCGCTGTGGCTTCAGGCGCCTCCCGTGGGCGGGGACCGCGTCTCCGGAGATGAGCACGGTGCCTAGACCAGCACCACACACTTCGCAGACCTGTTTGCTTGACACGTGAGTGGACAAATAGGGAGCTAACTCCCCTCTGGGCCTGCAGGCGAGAGTCCCCCCGGGAAGCCTTCCCAGAGCGCCCCGCCGCCAGGCCCCCGCACGCCGGCCTGGCCTCTCCCTGGAAGGGCGCCTTGGCTTGCTGTCTGGCCTGCGGGCGCTCAGTACCTACCTGTCGAATGAGCACATGACTGGCTGAGGTGGGAGAAGGCTCAGCTTTTCTTTTAAAGCCAGTTCAGAGATGTTGGTTCCCATGGCTCTAGGTAGACACGGCCAGCAGTGCATGGGACACGCAGACCCCTTAGGGTGCAAATAGATTTCTGTGTGGGAGACAGGGGGACAGGGGACGTCGCTCTGGGCAGGAAGGGACGGGCGTGCGGTGAAGGAAGGGGTGGAGACTGAGGACCCTGGAGTTAAACACGCAGCGACTTAGGCACAAGTGGCAGACACCACCCGAGAACCCGAGGCACCTGCCGAAGGTCCGATGCTACGCACTGACTCCTTCATTCGCTCAGCGAGATAGTGCACGGGAAATGGGTACCATCTAGGTGACCACGTGAAGGGTTCAACCAGTGCAAACTCTCCGCTGCCGTCGATGACACGTGCATTTGTCACTCCGCGGGAGACGGTGGGTGAGCCCGTTCCTCCGAGGCAGCGCCGAGTCCCTCCGGGCAGCATCCGCCCTGGGGCACAGGTGACCTGCTGGGGTCTGTGTTTTAAGTGGCACTAATGAATGCGTGGGCGGTCACATGCTTACCCTCACGGACTGTTGGTGTTGGAGAGAGGAGAGAGAACATGCATCAGTGCGTATGACGTGTTCATTTTTACTTGACTGAGAGTTTTCTTTTTTTTTTATCCTCACCCGAGGATATTTTTCCATTTTTTGTACAGATAGAGTGGGAGGGAGAGAGAGGAAGGGAGAGAGAGAGAGAAACATCGACGTGAAAGGGACACATCGAGTGGCTGCCACCCGCACGACCAACCAGGGCCGGGGACAAACTGCAACCGAGGTACATGCCCTTAGTGGGAACCGAACCCGGGTCTCTCCGGACCGCAGGCCGACGCTCTAACCGCTGAGCCAAACCGGCCAGGGCTGACTGAGAGTTTTCTACCCAATCTCACCAACGGCCTTTGCTGTCTTGGGGCCGCCCTCTCGCTGAGCCATGTGTCAGCCGCTGGCTGGAGCTCGTGGGTCATGACTAGGGATTGCATGGCCTCCGGAAGCTGGAGTCTGTGGGCACGGCCAAGTACCCCCACATTTGTCCGGCTCCCGGGTACCGTGTAGGGCCTCAGAGTCACACTGGCCTCCACCTAGCAGACACCCCCTACTGGCTGGATGCGGCGACAGGGAATTGGGGTGCGGACCAAGGCCCGGGCCTGTCCCAGAGGCCCCAGCGTGCATTCCTGGAAGGGAGTCGGGTTTCAGAGCCTGAGCCCGGCGTGGCCCCCACAGCGAGGCAGCCAGTGCGGTCGGCTCCGTGGGAAATCTCAGCACTGGCGGCCCAGCACCCCGTAATCTTATCAGGGCCGCAAGAGAAAGCATTTCGACTCCAGAGGAGTCTGAAGGCAGCTCTGCCTCCCTCCAGCGACAGCTCCGCTTTGCAGAGCCAGCTTGAGCAACCCTGCGCGCCCCAGCAGCGCGTGAACAGCTCGCGGCTCTGGGGCGCTGGCGCCACGTGGCCGGGAGAACCGAGACCCCGAGAGAGGAGCGGGCTGCCCAGACGGAGCGCCGGCGGCCTTGGGGAGGCCCCGGTGCCTCTGCTCTGGGGAGCAGCTCAGCCTAAGCCCTGAGAAGTAAGACGTTCGGTCTCATCACAGAAGCAGGACTCGCCTGTGCTCGGCCGTGGGGTGCTCTGCGGCATTTCTCTCCGTGCGAAGAAGGGTACGGCGCCTTCACGGGCACAGACGCTCAGTCGCACCACGAGCGCCGTTGCTCCAGGGCCCTCCCGAGCCAGACCGGAGAGGACGCTGCCCCTGTACCCTGTCTTTAGGGCAGTGAGCTCCCCACCTTTCCCTGTTTGGGCTCGCTGAAGACCT